AGGAATAAAATGCACACAAAATCGTTGATGGGGAAGACAACTTGAAAACTTCGACGTAGATGGGAGGACAATGTTCAGTTGCACCTGAAATGGTTAAATATTCTACAAATAAAAGACTAATCTGGCTCACGGTAGAAGCCAGTTATAAATCTTCTGCTTGTTTCAACCTACTGATGAAGATAACCTAACCTAACGGACGCCACAGATAAGTCTACCGTTAATATGAGCGGATAACTGACTAAGCGTTTAAGCCGTGAAGTTACGCTGAATGCCGTCCTAAAAACATCGCCGCTTACTGTAAATGTTCCCAATGTTGGAGCAGTCTGCATGCTATTTGATACTATGAATGAGTTACCATTGACCCGACTAAGACACTAAATTACATATCAAATATTAACTACTAAAAATAGAAGAATAAGACGAAACACTAAAAATCTAGAAAACATAGAATTGAGAGTCAGCAAATTTTTTTATACTGTTTATGAGAATGGATGCAAAGATAGGCACGTCTGTTTGAAGATCAAGTCAATTCTCCGCTCAGACAGACATTATCTTCTTAACTGCAGAGATAGCGCCAATATCCGAAATGTCTTCAGTTTTAGAGTGTTATTTATTTTTTACGTTGATATCGGTACTTAGTTATTAAGAATCACGACATGAATACGTATTAAGGAATGGAGGCATAGCTCCACTCATTCTTAACCTCGGTATTATGGAGTTGAGTGGTCAGTACCATGACACATCGTCTTTTTTTATTATTTTTTTATTTAGTGTTCTGTCTGAGGCCAGGTCCATATGAACAGGATCCTTCGATCCTTTTCTCGGACTGGGACCTGTTCGTATACGTTCTTGGCAGATGATCCAGAAGTGGTTTGCCATTGCCTTCTTCTGTGTGTGAATGGAGTAATTGTTGGGATGCCACGGAGAAACCGGGGAAGCCCCCGGAGGAAAACTCCGTTTTGACTAGATCACGGCCTTGCCCAACACAAGTTATAAATTCGAGCACCGCCGGGAATCGAACCCGAGACCCCAGGATTACAAGGCCAGCGTTTTAACCGCTAGACCACCGTGGCGGTACATCGTCTTTACCCCTGAATAAAAAAACCTCAGAACCCATTGCTGATGTAATACTTTATTGTTAGTAGAGACACTGATTTTGAGTGTGGAATGAATTTACGAGGTACCACCACATTGCAACATTTAAATGGGAAATAGCGGTGGAGAATTAAAACATTATTTTCTCTACCTGTCAATATAGAATGCTTTACTCGCCGGAATGGTTTAGTAGGACTAATCTGTGAAGTGAACAATAGTCGATTATTAAAACGTCGATTGAAGTGAACAATGATATGGCGCTTTCAATGTGACTAATTGACAGCGCTGTGCACAGTACTTACACAAGACACTTAATGGAATATTTGATACGAACATCGTGTTTTCTATTTTTTTTGCCGGCATAGTTTAGGAGTAACAATGCGAAATAAATTAATGAATGAGTACGTTACAGAACGTTAACGTCCTGTTCGCATTTGTTCCGCTGGAAGTAGTGCTTTATCAAGGACACAAAGAGGGAGTTGTTGTTTGTTTTTCTGTACGTACATTCGTTTCTATGCACATTCGATAGATCGATGAAACATCGGCAAATTATGAGACGCAGGAAACCAGAGCGAGTGAAAATATATCAATTCTGGTTTCATATAATTTATTTCTAATTCCATATAAAGTTCGTCCTTGTTCTAAAAATATAAATATAATCCAGAGCACATAATTATAAGGTCAGGAGATTCTCAATTTGAGGTCTTCTGATGAATGGATACAGTTTTGTAACATTATTGTGATAGAAAATTTTTATAAAAACTTCTTATATGAAGAACACCTTTAAATTTACATATGATAATTCTCACTTGGTTAATATATAATATTAAATACACTTCATTTATGCAAATATTATCAGTCATCATAGTACAGAAACAATACGTATAAAAGACTGATGATTAGTCTTTAGGCCTGAAGATGGAGACGGGATGTCCCCTAAACGTATGTATCTACTACGAATCCACACGGTGTACAACTCAAAATAATATCGTCCATTTCTCATACTCGTTATTATTGTCCAACTGTTTTATTTTCAAGGTCTTAAGTATGACGTCAGTTATTGAACCAAGGATCGAATACCTCCGTAGATGCTTCCGTTCATTCACACTTTCGATTACCGGAATATACTTACGAATCATCTATGACTAATCAATAAATTACTATGAATATTTACAAATTACTGCGGACAACCACAAAGTCTTCTGAGGGTAAAAAGATACAACATGATTATATTCCATTACAATGTTTCTACAAAGCCTGTACGAAATTTAAACGCTGAAAAATCATGGCTTACCAAATAGACGACTAATGGAATGAAGATGGGTCCGAGCATACCGACCACTGAACTCGTACTCATTCCAAGACCACGAACCACTGTCGGATACAGCTCTGAAGCCATGAGCGGTAGCACCACGAAGGACGAAGAAATTCCCATCTTCCCAACACAGTACAGAACCAATGTAACGTTAGTGTCTGGAAAACAAACCATAAAACGAAATAACCAACACTCCACAGTGCAGAGTACAAAGAAGCTAATAGTCACTTAGCTAGTCAAGACACTCCTAACATTTTAGGGGAAATACCATTTTTGATTTGATGTTGGCGCTATGGATTATGTTCTGAGTACTGGAGCAATACACACTCATCGGTAGATGAGAACGTTTCGGAGTAACATATTGACTCCATCTTCAGGGCTGAAGTTTACACTTCTTGGTCCGACGAGTGTACATGGCGCCAAAACTCAGAAGAATATCACAACATGCAGCTGTCTGTCAGTTTAATTCTAGATGAACCTCCTAGTCTAACACAGTTTCTGATAAGGGAGAACGTTGTGACTAATGGTTTTCACATCCACAGGTATTGTGGTCTGAATTTCTATAGACGAAGTGGTGTATTTTCGTGGCTAGGATTGGCAAAAGCATGTGGGCACAGTGAGTACAATGTGCCAAGCCAAAAGCGGCTGACGCAAGTGTTTTAGCCCCTGCAGGATAGTAATTCGAGCACACGCATCACAGGTAAGTCGGAGAAGTTGCCGCACATTCACGGCTTACTGCTAATTGAACAATAGACGTCTATTGGTTAAAAGAAAATATTGTTTCGGGAGCTTACAGCTACACAGCACCGTAATCAGTTGAGTTCACTGGGGGCTGACATTAGATTTTCCCATTGGACCCAACTAATTAGTTTTAGCTGATTACGGATTCAGAGGCACCTTCCGAAACGTTGTGTTTTTAAATTAACACTTTAAAGCTCATTGGTGCCTATAGACCTTTGTCCCAGGTGTTGTAACAATTAGAAAGTCTGCATTTTGTTTTCATGGATTTTGTTTTATTATCGGTGTAAACAGGCATTATGTCCTTAAACAGTGTTAACAAATTGATATTTTTAGTGATAACGTGTAGTGTTTTGTTTGAGGTACGGAATGGATTTTTAAATATAATTTTGACGAGCTTCAACTTCAAAGGAATAATACGTGGAAAAGTCCTACAGTATGCATCTGTTTTGCTATATGCGCATTGATAATATTCAATAGACAATCAACTGACAAAGCTCAACTCCGTCGTGTGTCTAGATGTAAAAGTAAGCACGTCTCAGTAACACATCAATCTAACAAAAGAAGACTCTACTTTTTTTAAATATTCAAGGTTTTAAAAACAAGGCAGAAGGTAGTTAGTACTAAAACATGCAAGTGGCCTTGGCTTGTGACAGCGACTGCTCTGAATAGCATCGCCAAAGAACTGCCAAATTGATCGAGACGCTAATTGTATGCAAGACCATGACAGTTATTATTGGGGATCATACGTGAAGTGACTCCATTAGAAATACTTTTTATATCAATATTGAACTTGCCTTTCCATCTAATTCACTGGAGGACACAAGCCATCGTTGTGCAGAATTAAAATCAAAGAGGGGGTTGGGTGGCTTTTATAGAATAACTTTATACAGTGCGTTCACTGATAACGCTGAACGCAACTGTCTTTCCGGCAACCGGCAGTAACTGTTATACTATAAATAAGTTGATTTAATTTTCTTTATGCTTTGGTTAATTCGGTGATGAACCTTTGGGTTCGGTAAGCCATCTAGTTAGTTAGTTAATTGTCTTTATAGCGATATTTGACTCATATATTTACATCTTGAGAGTGAGTCATGTAGTTCCAGCCGGAAGTCTGGAAGTGACAGTTGTTTTCGACATTATCAATAAACGCAGAAGAAACGACAAAGAACTTTTGAAAACGTATCATCTTTTGCTGTTCATAACACTGCATTAAAGTATCCTTAATAATTACCATAGCACGATAGTGCAGATAGGCCTCTGTACCAATCACTGCCAGCGAGAAGTCTATGGTTCGAAACTGGGTTACTGCTTCTTACAGTAACTTTTTTATTTTAATTTTATTTATCAGTCGATTCTAACTGAAACCGAGGAGTTGGGTATGTTCCCGGAAGACTTCGATCATGACTTTCTTTTGTCCCCTCAGATAAATGTTTACAATACAGGGTTATTCATAATTCCCTGACACATTACTAAAAAAAATCGCTAGACTAGACTGTTACATACGTTTCATTCGTCTTCCTGCACCTGAAAAATACTATGCGAATATATGAATAAATTGGCGCAGATGAAAGTCCAATAAATTTCAACCATACGTTGGTCTTATTTTCTAAATCGATAGCCGTATATTACGGCTGTAACCCTTGCTTTCACCCCCCCCCCCCCGCCCAGAATAGCGTCACCTTATCTGCGAGCCCACCATTTGGATTTAAAATGTCCCTTCAAAGACAAAACGTGTGCCACAATTATTCAGTTGCTATTATTAAGAGAAAAAATTCTGAATAAGTCGTTTACAGCGTACTATCACTATATATAATAGAGATAAATCTAATTTGAAACATTCTAGGATATGTTGCATGTTAGAAACAATATATATCGCTTAAAATACATATTTTTCTCTTATATAAACGTATTTTAGATATGACATTGTTTTTAAAAATAACATTTTGCCATCTTTTGTCAATTCAAGCCGTGAATAGTATTTTACAAACCTAGTAAATGTAATAAGCGGGTTTTATTTTTAAAAAAAAAATCAGCGTAAATATGTTAAAGAAATATAATAATAAAATCAATTATATATATATTTACAGTATCATATATCTATAACAGACAATAATTGAGCAATTTATATCTCTTGTAACCAAAAACCAAAATTAAATTTTGAAGACGTCTGTCTTCTTGGTTGTAGCGCCGTGTAACCTGGTATCCGTTCACAAACGTTACAGATGTACTTGCTGTCTCCATCATCAGGGCGATGAGTAAGCCGCACGCGAGTAATCGGTTTGAGATATAGCAAGCAGTCAGTCAGGATACCAGATTACACGGCGCAACAATCCGGAAGACAGCCCGCCATCTTCATAATCTCAAAATAAAAATAAAATTTGTATGAAATAAATTAATGTTAATACCAACGATATATTCGAAACTGGAAAGAATAAACTTTTAAATGTTTATTCCAAAGAAGGGATTAACCTTTCCAAGTTTGTTATTCTCTCCGTTTCTCCGAAACTGATAGCGTAACAAGTAGTTTTTGTTACAACGTCAGAGAAAGCTGAGCTGTAAGTAATCTGTACAAAATGATCTATATACTTAGTCGTTATGCACACATTAGGACATGTAATCTCGGCTGTATGCATGATTACACTTCCATGGCCTACCTCGTTTAAACACCCACAGCAATCATATATTAGAGGCAACGCTCAGCGTGATATCTGCTAGCTAAATTGCCTCTAGTCAGGCCCTGGTCTACGTGGGGTTGCAGATGTACTTAATGCTGGTCTGTAAGTAGGATTTGAGGGTTTTAAGGCGGTAAATAAAAATCTCTCTTCTGGCTTGTAACGCGAGTAGTCCGATCGAAACATACCGACGTTTCAGAGGTTCTGTCTCAATCATAAATGCGATAAT